AGGCTTCACTCGTCGGACTCAGTTATAGTCTGGCCCATGAAGTTTACTGGCATAACTGATAACAATATTAGATATCTGATATTGTGAATCCCAAGACTGGTTCGTTGGGTTGTATGTATCATTGTGTTATGGTGGTCCTTGAGGATAACACTAATTCTCCAAAGCCCATTGGGAAATCTGTTTGGAAAGTGGGAAAGTAAGAATCAGCACCTGGTACACAGAAATCAGAAAAATGGAGGATATATCCAGTGACAGTGATGGAGCTAAAACGCAAATCCAAGAAGATGGGGGTGGATATAAGCATGCCACTATGTAAAGCACTAAGGAAAGTGTGAATTGAAGCCAGCCCCTGGAGGCAGTACTAGGGATGGATATGATTCCCCAAATTAGGAAACAAATTGATTCTATTCAAGAGTTGCAGAATCAACTGTCACTTCCACAAGATCCTACAAGGCTTAATGAAAGGTATAATATATATACTTGATCAATCCCATTGTTAATGGGGTTGTCTTTATTTCTTAAAATGCGTGGCAGAAGGAAAGAAATGAGGTAATTAAATTAAGTAATGTTTAATTAAGTTAGTTAAAAGTGGTGGTCCATTTAAGTCCAGAAAGATGACAAGTAGCCATCTGCAGAATTCCTTTCTTATATACCACTCACTCTTTCTCTCTCTTCCTTTCCACACTGATCGATGAATAATGCTTCTCATGACTCGTCATCTTCATTCCCCTGCATGCCTTGCACTTTTCATCGGACAAAAATAAAGCCACCACACTCTCCAAATCTGCTTCTTCCTTTTTATATCTTTTGATCTATATATACTTTTTCTGCATGCAATCCCAGACTTACGACTAACCCAGCTCTAGCGGCTGATTAAAAATGCCTCCTAGTTAGAGTAGGGACAGCTGATAATGAAGCCATCATTGTTTGTCACATCCACGAACAACTGGACGCTACCATTTAATTCAGAGCCACTAATCTTGTTTATTCTATGAAGCATCTTCTCATTGTTGAGTGAACTATAATGGTGACCGGTAAACCATTGATTTTGAGTAGTGTAGAAGAAAAAAACAGTAAAAGGAATCAGCTAGCTAGCTATATAGATCTATAGGTATAACTATATCTTTAAGATTCCACCTATAAACAGGTTTGTTTCTGTATTTGTGTACATATACACAAAAACGTACGCATGCAATGAATTGAGAGATCATGAGTTACATATCCCAGTCCTCCACGGAATAGTTAGGAAAGTAATAAGAATCTAATGATTAGAATGAAGTCACCTTCAAGGGTGATGCATTTCTTCATCTAAAATTAAAGTCAGATGGTCCTGCAGAAAATATATGTGCATATATATAGTGGAGAGAATAATACCCAAATCATACGGTTATACACAATAAATTACTTGGACCACGTATATTAAAAGCAGTAAATATATACATGTAGGAAATGGTCCAGATGATTCACTATTCATGAGCATGTGCACAGTGTGTTGCTGCACAATACAAAAGCTGAAGGAAGGGGTTATGATCATCTGGTGTACCAGTGGTGTCACGTGTGACCTGGACCAAAATAATAATTTGTTTCTATGTATTCTAGTATGCCCTTTTGTAGGGCAAGTGTCCTTAACTTTTAAGGTCTTATTTATGTATTAGTTGATAGTTGAGGATCATGTAACTTCTATATCCACCCACCCATATGAGTTTTTCTTTTTTTCCACAACCAATATTCCTAACCCTTCAGAAAAAGGGTTCCTTAAAGAGTTCAATTCTATTAAGAATGGCCAACAAAAACAACCCAATCGCTGACTTATTGTTCCAAGTAATTTACTGTAGGAGTTTAAGATGCTACGTTTTTTTTCTTTCTTTTCAATTTCTAGGCATATATATGTGATGAACTTTCAGCATCTTTTGATTCCATTCTATGTAAACATATGTACATATACACACATATATATTGACCTAACAGTAGTTGAGACCATTATAGTGGTTGTCTTATTAGTCTTCATGCTTTTGGCCAGTCCCACCTTCAATATATTTACCACAACCACTATGTTTATATATGTATGACTATCTAATATCTAATGCTACTGAATCATATTCAATCATTGTCAGGTCTAATTGAGGTCCATAGTTATTTTAACGCGATTCTTTCCATTCACAGGATTTGAACCTTTGCCTTTATTTGTTTACGGTTGGGAATTGAGCCTCTTCCAGTTGACCCAACCATCATCATCGGTAATTGTATTCATATACAGCTAAACTTATATATATATATATATATATATATAATGCAGTCAAGATCTATTAGCTACATCAGCAACGACAGTTACACCTTCCTCTTACAACTAATCACTATCATCACTACAATTATGCATGGTCATGTCCATTAAAGCCAACTTGCCATCAAATTTATCACCTTACTATTAGTTTGATAGTTTCTGTATATGCAATATAGACAGCTTTAGCAGCTCACTACAATATCAATATGGATGTATAAAGCTGTCTCATTATATATGTCTTTGATTTGAAGAATTAATTTTGGTGCTTTGAATATGGTTTGAAGTTAGAAGTCGCTTTAATCCACCGTATGTGCTGTGTGAAAGTAGCGATTCTAGAAGAAGATGAAGGTGGTGGGAAGAGATTAAAAATGGAATTAACTAAAGGGATGTGTAATGAGGTGAGACAATAATTAGGGAACCAAATGGTGGTCCTGCAATAATTTGATGCTGATATTAATTCATAGTTTATACATATAGACTGAGGGCTATTGACCATACTCAGATTGGTCGGGATAACACACACCAATAACATTTCTGTAAACTCCTTCCTTCCCAGCTAACATTCTTGTCCTTTTCAATCTATTCCAATTTCCACATCATTTCAGATTTATGTCACTTTTCTGCAATATCTTGTACTATCACCACTTCGCTAGTTACCTTATAACCTGGATTTATTCTCAAAAGAATTTATTTCCATTACAAATTAACTGATTCTTTATGTGTGTGTATGTTACATTATCCTGATATATTCCTACACAGAACAAGTTAATTGTTTTGGTCTCTCTTTTTACATATATATGACAATGTCCCTTGCAGTCATATGATGAGCATGAGTAATATATGAGTTAAATTGAAATAGAATACTACTTAAAACTGGTTGCTCGGTCAAGCATCCAAAGCTTTACTAGTTGAGGACGATAAATACAATATTATATGTGTGTGTATGCGCATGTGTGTATATATATACACATATATCAGAGCAAGGGTCGATGTGGCATCTAAGAAAAAATGGTTGAACATCGCTTAAAGTGCTTTGAACATGTGCAAAGAAGGCTATTAGAGAACCTGGTGAGAAGAGTAGATCAAACAGTATGAAATCTCATAAAAAAGGACAGAGGAAGACCGAGAAGGATGCTCAATGAGATCATTGAACGAAACCTTCTGGTCAATAACATATGTAAAAATTGAGTTGTTGACAAAACACAATGACATTGTGTAATTCATGTGGCCGACCCCACCTAGTGAAATAAGGCTTGCTGTTGTTGTTGAGTTTTGAATTCAAATTCTTATTGAGATCATGGCTAGGACAAGCATGTCTCATATCGATTTAAAAATTGAAAAAAAAAAAGAAGATGTAAGATACAAGAGTAATAAAAGAGAAGATGTAAGATAAAAGAGTAATAAAAACTAATAAAAAATTTTTAACCCAATTTAAATTGAGCTCATTAAAAATTTTTCTCCCCTCTCCCTTTTCATTTCTCTCATACTAGATATAGGGTTAAACTACATATAAGTTATTCACTAATTATGAGATCCTCACATTTAGAATGAATTTTAAACAGACATTAGTATAAGATGAGTCAAATTCTTTACCAATTAGACCAACTTTTGTTAATAACATTATTGTATAAACATTCGCATGAAAATAGCACACACGCATATATTCTGATTCTTCTTCATGATAATTTTGGAGTTGAAATGTTCAATTATATGTTCTTGCTACAACTTCAAGTCCCAGCTGTTCTTTTTAGATTCTTTTATCATCTATATAGGATTCAATTCTTTTCTATGCATTGAAGAGGAAAAGTGGTCCGAGTTTTTATGATGATAAGAATATATGGAGCAATGAGGATAAGGATTAAATAAAGAAGCAATTCATTCAATTAAACTCAAAAATATATTATTCTTAAACAAAGGGGGTGACCCTGCAATGCAATAATATTATGATTATCAGAGGGCCACTTTGATATTCATGGGAATCGGGACCTTTTTTTTTTGCCCCTTCCTTTTCTTTTGAAATGCATTTTTTTTTCACTTGTTTTCCATCAAAGTGATGAGATTTTCCTTATGGTCCCCCAGGCTCCAAATAAGAAGTTAATGCCAGCAAAGCATAAGAAATTATATCTTTGTGTGATCAATAATCAATAATTTGCGAAAAAAATCAAATAATACTGATGCAAACAAATATACCATACAATTTCTATACAAACATCTCACATCCGATACAACTTTATATCAGCATCAGCACTACATATAAAACTAAAAGTACCCAAGCAGATCTAAAATAATCATCTAGCCAGCCAGCTAAGTAAATATCGCAATAATAATTACACGATTTACACAGCTATATGACAAGAGCCTATAACTAAAATTTCAACGTAACCCACTAAGCCAAAGGTACTACTAAAGATCTCAAAACAAATATCCACCCACCAGTTCCTAACTTTTCTGCATAATAAATAGCAACCGCACATTCTGTGTGTATGCTTTCCTTTTGCTTCTTTTGAATCTGCTATGAAGAAATGAGAGAAAAGTCTAGCAGTGTGAAAGAGCCATCCTGCTTCATTTTTACATCATATATACATACACATACGCATTCAATATATATATATATATATTTATATGTATATATAGGACACAACTTAGGTCAAGTTTCTTATAAACCATTATACATCTCAAGTTCTCCAATAAGATTTTTCCATGTGTTGTGTTCTTTTCCATCGGAAATATTGGCATAATGGTTATAAGGAACTTGATCTAAGTATTGCAGGTTTAATTTGTTACATGTCATGATGCAAGTGAAAGCGTGCGGTCCGTTAACTAGCTTTGCAGGTAAATATGTTGAATATCTTCTGCAATTCTTTTGGCATCAATGGAGGCCCCAAGCAATCCACGTTTGGTGAATCCTACAGCATAAAGTCCATTCTCTCCTTTCCAACCATTTGGGAATGGCTTTCTTGGCAACCCATCTTTCTCACTGAACATGTCGCTGCCCTAATATTCAAAATAAAGATAGATCACGTAAATATAGTAAAGTAGCTTTCTAAGGTTTAGCTGTAATTTTCATAAACTAAGGGTAATATAATACTACCTTCGAGTTTTTAATATAAGAACTCGTTTGACTATTATTTTGATTCTAAATATAAGATCCCAATTTATTTTGTCTCTCTTATTTATCTTTTTTTTTAAGGATAGTTCTTATAATAATAGTAGCTCTAGCCAATATAGTTGATTAGCAAGGTTACTTGAGAAAAGACAATACTTATTTATTATAAATAACTAACTTAATTATTTTTTTTATTCTACTCAAATTAATTAACTAGTTTTTATATTTTATATTAAAGATGGGAGGTAGTAGTAAAGGAATTACCTTTAGCCAAGAGGGTACATTGCTTTTGTAACCGGTTGCCAGGATAATGGCATCAAAATTCTGTACGGTGCCATCAACAAACTCCACAGCATGATGTTTCAGCCGTTTGATTCCTGGACGAACCTGTAGGAGAAACTAAAGTTAATTAATGTAGAAGAAGAAAGAGACATGAATTAACGTTGACGACGTTGGTTAAGGAAGGAAGGTGGAACCTTAATTTTGCCAGATCTGACGAGGGAGAGAGTGCCAACATCGAGGACGGGGGTTTTGCCGTACAAGTTCTTGAGCTGAAGAGGACCCAATTTGGGACGATGAATTCCGAAACGAGAAGTGTCTCCGATCATGAGATGTGACATTATGAGCAGAAACTGATCCACCACTCTTACGGGCAGCCACCTCAGCAGACACATCGCTAATCCAAACGTTGATTTCCCAAACATCTGCTGAGGCAATATATGCACCTGATCCATATATGTAATTATCAATTATGCAATATGTTTGGGCTGTCAGAAGAAGGGACAGCATGTTAAAATAACCCAAAAAATGTTTTAAAAAAGACACAGAATTTATTCATTTATAAGAAACTAAAACTTGTATACTACTCTTGTTAATTTGTTGTCAAATAATATTAAGCAAATTAATTTAAAACAACTCATCAAGAACTAAAGTTTTACTTATACATGAATGAATGAATACATTTAAATAACTTGGGTATTAAGTTAAAAAAGTATTGATGATGATTATCGTTTTTACTTTTGAAAATGATTGTCTTCTCTAACTAACTATGAATAAGGCCTTATTTGGATTGGTTTTTGTAATCCCAAAAGCTCAAAAATTATGATTGGATTATTACTCGAGTGAAAATGATTTTTTTTTTTGGCAATAAGCTAAATTAGACATAAAGCCACATTTTCAAACTTTTGGAGTTCCAAAAGGCAAACGAATATTCAAACTGAGTTTACTTTAATTGTAAAATCTTCCAACATTTGCAAAAAATGCAGTTGGTCTTCTGCTATATATCCAAACAAGTCCTTAAGAAATTGAAGAGGAAGTTGAAAGAAGGAAAAAGGTCTGAGTTGATGGTGATTATTGTTACCGTATCTCTAACAACAAGAGAAGGTGTGGCATTGTGGTTGCAGAGATCCAAACAAACCTCCATGCCGGAATTCCCACATCCAACCACCAACACAGCCTTCCCACACAACATATCCCCACTCTTGTACGAACTTGTATGAACTATTCTCCCTCCAAACTCACCCATCCCTTCTATCTCCGGCACCACCTCCTCCGCATTCTCCCCCGTCGCCACCACCAGCCACCGACACCAGTACTCTCTTTCTCTCTCCTCCTCATCACCACCACACGTAGTACCAGTCTTTGTCTTCACCCTCCAATACTTCAGCTCCTCATCATACTCGGCGCTCACCACCCTCCTCCCAAACGCCGGCCTCAGGCCGAAGCGGTCGGCGTAGGCCTTCAGGTAGGCCACAAACTGCTGTTTGGTTGGGTAGCAAGGGAAGTTGGAGGGAAAAGGCATGAGAGGAAGCTCGCAGAACTGCTTTGGGAGGTGAAGACGAAGACGATCGTAAGTTTTGAGCTGCCACATTGAAGCTAAGCAGTTGGCTCTTTCCAGGATGATACTTGGGATTCCCTTGGCTTTCAGGCATGCGGCTGCAGCTAGCCCCGATGGACCCGCACCCACTATAACAGCTCCCTCGACCCATACTGATGCTCCTGTTTCTTCAACTTCTTCATTCATGTTCTTCTTCTTCTTCGCTGTGAGGATTGCTTGGTAGTGATCATAAACGACGACGTCGTGCAGTCTTTTGCCTTCTACTTCCCTTCTGTACTCCATGATGGTCAGTACCACCACCCACAACATCTCTCATCTCAAATCACACATACATATGTATGCCTACCAATTAACGTCTGTCTCTCTCTATAGATATATATATAGTGGCGGTTTCATTTGGAGTTTGTGTCAAGTTTTGATGTTGAAGCAGAGTAGAAGAAGTGAGGAAGGAAGGGAATAGTAAGTAGCTAGTTCTGAAACTTGGAAGACGTGGCTATACTTAAAGACCCTGAGGATGCCCCAGTAATTAGGCTCCTTGCTGAACATTTATTAAAGTGGATGTTGCTACTGGTGGGATTCACTCTCCCCCCCCCCCAACACACAAACACCCATTCCATTTTAATAAATTCTCATCAACTTATGATCAATACGTTAATGTTATGTATTATATATACTTATATATGTTTTAAGAAAGTCCGGCTCACGCTAAACACCTTCCTTAAGTCTTGCTTAAGCATGATGTTGCGCATTAGAGCACTTTACGAATGTTTTAATAAAAGGTTGTCACCTTAGTGGTTTAATTTCTATCTACATATAGGTATTATTTTAGAAACTCAATGACTCATCAATTACTTTTCTTACAATTATACTCCTCCGGTCCTAATTATAAGACCCAATTGACTTATTTGAGGAGATTAAGGAAGTAAGTTAAGTTGGTTATTTATAATAAATAAGTGTTGTCATTCCTAAAATATCCTTGCTAATTAAGTATATTGGCTAAAACTATCATTATTAGAAAGATTATCTTGGAAAAAAAATACATAAATATAAGAGACAAAATGGATTGGGGTCTTATAATTAGGACCAAATAAAAAGTCAAATGGGGTCTTATAATAAGGACCGGAGGAGTATTTTATTAAGAGAAGAAGATGATTGCAAGAGAAACAATAGACACAGTGCATTTTAGACAAATGGATTCATTTTTACTGTAGCTTCTTTAATCCTATGAATACGTTATTTTAAATGATAGTTATATTGAAATAAAATGAACGAGTGCACATACTTGTTATCTAGGCTCCTCAATAAAAAAAAATCGTAATTATTACATATGAATAATGATTAAAAATCTAATATTAAAGTACTAATTATGGAGGTTTAACCTAGGACATTAATTATTCAAATAATGAATGGGTGAGAGTGGGGACTCATAACTGGTTTGATCATATCATGTGGAACACATGTATGCGTGTGAATAACTAACATTAACCAACAACCTCTCGTCCACCCGCAAACCAAAATCCGCAGCAAATATTCTGGTATTTAATAATCTTCCGGTTCCAAATAGAGGAGCTACTTAAAAAATTAGTTTTGATTCTAAATATAAGACCTTAATTAATTTTATCTCTCATATTTTATTTTTTCTTCCAAATTAATTTATCTGACTTATAAACTTGTGTGTGTATAAAATAATGTTATATATATATGAGTATTTTAGAGAGATCATATTACATTTGTCAAAACTAAGTAATTTATTTAGTTTCCTTCGTCTATCTAAATTAGTTAAGTTTTGGCATGAATTAAGGATCGAAGGAGTAAAAAAGACAGGTAGCTTCTCTCAATTAAATACATCATATATGTCATGAGACCCACATCAGGGAGCTTTATAAGTGCTGTGGGATTTATAAATTTAAGGAGCTCTCTTTTCTAATAGGTTAGTATTTTGAAATTAGGCTCTTCTTTTAGGCTTTTGCTCACCACACTGGTGCTTTCAATGAGAGTTAAGCAACCGAAAGGGCTACTTGCAGGGGAGTTTACCGATAGGAGGAGTAGGAGATCGAGTGAAGCACCGAGTAAGTCTAACATTGGAGAGCCTCACAAGTGTTGTGAGATTTATAAGTTTAAGAAACTCTTCCTCCTAATAGACTAGTCTTCTGGGATTATACTCTTCCTTTGAGTCTATGCTCATCACATTATATATAGCTCTACATTGTTCGATTCAAAGATTCTCATTATTTTGTTCTTTTCAACCAAAAGAACCTCACTGAACTCTACTCATGAATCATGCTGCTATTGAAAAACACAAGAGATAATGGATTACATGAACTTTTAATTTTCACAATAACTACAAATCACACTACAAAAAAACAACTAATTATCAATGAAATTAGTGATGGAATAATTTTCGTCGTTAATTTCTGACGGATTACCCACAAAAATTCTATCGCTAAACTTAGCCACGAAATTAGCAATGGAATTTTTTCCTCAGAAAATTTTGTGGCTAATTCCGTGACTAAAATTTTATAATTAAAATTAGCCACAGAATTAGTCATAAAATTATTTCTGTCAGAAAATTCTGTGGCTAAAATTTTACAATTAAAATGAGCCACGGAATTAGTCACAGAATTTCTGGGCTAAAATTTTATAATTAAAATTAGCCACGGAATTTCTTCCGTCAGAAAATTCCGTGGCTAAAATAGTATAGTTAAGATTTGCGACGGAATACTTTTCCGTGGCTAATTTAGCCCTAGAATTAGCCACGAAAAATTATTCCGTCGCTAATTTCCGTGGCTAATTTCTGTGGCTAAAATATAATATTTAATATAATAAATATATAATTAAATTATATATCTTATGAATATTAAATAAAATAATTAAATTTAAAAATATATTTCTGAAAAAATTATGTGCTATTTAAAATTCAAAATTAGTATCATTGGAAATTAATATTATATTTAAAATAATTTTTTTAAAAAAAGCATTATAAAATAAATAGTAAAACAAATATCTAAAAATTATTTTGTTACAAAAATAGTTATGATTAAAATTATCATATAGTTTATTTTTAGTTTCTAATAATATATATGTGTATATATAATTATTTGTGTAAGAGAATATTATATATATTTAATTTTGCATAACAAGTTAGTAAATTCATTGCAGCTCAACTAATAAAGTTGCGCGCATACACAAACGAGATCTTTGGTTCGAGCTGTGGATAAGTCACTTTGTAGAGGAATTATATGGTAGCGACACGTGGCAATACAAGGTGGCATGTGAGATAGCGACACTTGACGACAGAGGTGAGGTTGTAGCGACACGTGGAAATGAGGTGGTGACATATGGCATTTTAATTTTTTTAAAAAAATATATTAGCGACAAAATTGAAATTCTGTTGGTAATTAGAGACTGAAAGATTCTGTCTCTAATTCTGTCAGTAATTATCGACAGAATTTTAATTCCATCGCTAATGTGATTTGTGACAGCAAAATTAGCGATGAAACAAATTCCGTCACTAATTCCGTTGACAATATGATTCTATCGTTAATCCGTCACTAATTCCGTTGCTAAATAAAAATTCTGTCAGTAAATTCCGTCACTGATCACATGTTTTTTGGTAGTGTCGCATGCGTACATCACAACCTCCAAAAGCCAGCTAATTCATTTCAACCTCGCTCATTAATTAATATTAAACCATAACACATGTTTTACGAGTTTCAAATTATACCGCAGAGGATTTTTATTGCAGTCTATATATATAACAGTTTCTGATCTTCTAGGAGACAGATTCTGTTCTCAATTTAGAAACATGTTAAGTTTTTCAAAGACCACCATCTATCATAATGACATATCTCTTCACAACTGCAAAAGGGTTGATATCTTTTGTCCATTAAAAAGATTTACATGAAAATGGAACTTGCAGGTCACTTGGGGATTCTGCAGATTTCATTTTGCGCTCATATACACACAAGTTAGTGGGAGTATACATGTGAATAACAATATTGCATATCTCTCGTCCCTCTTTTTTGATTTGCTTCATCATTCGCACTATACATCTTGTCAATGGAATAGCAATCCCAGTGCCCCCAATTATTTTGGAGATTCTTTTATCATTGTCTCATCGTCTGTATTTTCTATATAAGGCACAGCAAACAAGAATACTTATGTAGTGCAGGTAGATTCCCTTTTCACGCGTGCATATATATTAATTTCTTCATCATTTACATTATTTGTTTCCACTTTTTTTCAAAATGAAATGATACTAGGAATGAAACGTACTACCTTCTTCAATCTTTAATATAAGAGCTAATTAGAGATTCAATTTGGTCATATAGATATAAAATCCAAATCTATATTTGTCTCCAGTATTTATCTATTTTGTTATCAAATAATCCCTATAGTGATTGCACGTGTTAAGGAATTATCGTTAAGTAATAATTCAAATTCACATAATTAACTAAGGTATTTTAAAAAAGATAATATTTATTTATTATAAATAATTAAATTAAGTAATTTTCTTAATATTCATAAATTTGATATCTACCTTTTATATTGAGGACATGATAGTATCATTTTTATTTCAGGTTCTAATTGAAGTTATATATATATTGATTAGCGAGAAACATACCTGGCCTTAAAAATGAGAATTTAATAATTTTAAAAAAATGCATTGAAGAGGACAAATATTTGACTTATAGAGAAAGGCATCCACATGCAAGCTTGTACAAACAGAAGAGCCCACAACGAGCGCGCGCACAATTGTCTATAGGCATGTATCCTATAGTTCATTAGGGTCCCTACCTCGAACAGAGCACTTGAGCTTTAATTTGAAACTTTTGACTCTGTAATTTCCATTGAAAGTTGAATCCTTTGCTGCATTATTTTTCACCAGGTATGTGACATATATAGTACTGCTAAACATTATTGAATCAGAGACCATATATGGGACCATTCTAGTTATTAATTAAGCACCTACTTAATTATTCTGATGCTCATTTTTGCCAATCATGCTGATCTTTATCGATCACCATATCGTTTCTGACAAAGTTACTTGTTGAAACGCGCGCATACTCTATAATACTATGCTCCCTCATGTCTTTATTATAAGCACATGTGATAGCCTCTTTACATAAATCAATGAAGTAATTGGTTAAAAGTAGTTATTATTTCTTGTACAAAATTAACCGGAATAGAAGCTATTAGTTAGAATTTATAGTTGGTTAGTGATACGCGGGGGGAACTTAATACTCCCTCCAGTTATAAAAG